TTAAAGGTCCATGTCATGCCATTTGATTCTTCCGGGTACTTGCTTACGAAAGCACGTACCCGGAACTAAATGGAACCAATCCACACACACACTCAGTGCAGGCAGCTCTGCTGATTTCTCCTCCCTGGCTGCAGGCTGATAACAGACAGTTGGGATCGCGGCGAAATTCTCTCTGCAGACCCATTCTCACAGTGTTTATCAACCTTTTTCTTACTCAATACAAGCCACACTTATTGTTTTTCTTCGGCTGTGACTTTGTGTGTGCTCAGGGTGAGTTTGGCTGTGTTTGGCTATCGCTAAACAAGGAAACCACACCTCCACGGAGCTCAGCGCGATTCAACGTCCCGACCAATCAGAGCACACTGTGCTCACAGGGAGGGTGGGGGATGGAGCTATTGGAGCTACAACGAGCCGTTAAAGGCAGAGAGTGAAATTCAGTGAATACACGTAGTTTACAGAGATGCTGTATGAGAAACCAATGTGAGTTTGGAACATTGAACAATGTAAATCTATTCTAGTAGACCTCAACAATGGAATTATGATCAGTGGAAATGGCCATGACATGGGACCTTTAACATAAACAGTAAACACTATCGCATTCAAATTTCCACTGCAGCAGCCCTTTAGCTTTCAGCACCAAATAATTGGTTTAACTGCGCCAACAATAATATGCTTGACCAAAACCAATATTTGAGAGCAGCATACATTGGAGATTCACGTGAGCAACAGCAGTTAATTTTTTGTTCTTGCAATTCAAACTACCTCTGTAAGTCTAAGAGCAACATGAACACAGCTATGCCGTCGACATGTTGTTGCTATGAGGGATATTCATGCTGGCGTTGCAGCAACGTTAACGTCATGACGTGGCTGCCCTTGGGCTCTGGTCAGTGGAAAGACAAAATGGTCCCAGAGTGCTATCCAAGTTGAACCAGCCGCAGAACAGAACTAGAACTCATTTCAGTTGAAAAGGTTAATACAAGCACTTTTGTTGTGAATTTCGGCCACATTGCTGCATATTATCTAAGGAATACTATGCTGATGTCCCTGTTTTTTTCTGCCCCTCAGATTCAAGGACACCATCGTGAACGCCAAATACGGCGGGCACACAGAGGCGGTGCGTCGGCTGCTGGGTCAGCTGCCCATCAGCGCCCAGTCATACAGCAGCAGTCCTTACCTCGACCTCTCCCTCTTCAGCTACGATGACAAGTGGGTGTCAGTGATGGAGAGGCCCAAGACCTGCGGAGATCACCCCATCAGGTATAGACTCCATCAGGGTCATGCATTGTGGGTGTATTACATTTGCTCCTCCCTTCTCTGAAAACGGCAGAAAGCTAAACTGATCTCAATCATATTGATGCCTCAGAAACTAAAGGTCTGGAATAAATAAAAAATGTAATGTCTATTCTTTGTACCCCCTCAACCAACAGGTTTTATGCACGGGACTCTGGCCTGCTGAAGTTTAAGATCCAGGCGGGCCTTCTGGGTCGGCCGGTGAATCACGCTGTGAGACGCCTGGTCGCCTTCACCTTCCACCCCTTCGAACCCTTCGCCATCTCTGTGCAGCGCACCAACGCAGAGTACGTGGTCAACTTCCACATGAGGCATGTCTGCGCATGACCAGCTCCTGCATGGCACTGCAAACAAAGTCACACTCGGAATCAAATTGGAGGACTTCTGTTAGGAGGTGGCAATACAACAAACACAATCAGGAGGCACAACGCAGTTTGTTCTGTTAGTCCCCCCTCTCATCCTCCAGGGAAATCAGCGGTCCTCTCCCCGCACCCTCCTGATGGAAACCACTGTTCCTCGCCTCTTTCCCCCTTCCATCACACAGTGGTCACTCCACTTCCGCCTGCTCCTCCCCCTCCGCGAGAAGGCAGCAATTCTGCCTTTTTCCTTTCGTCTGCAACACTCCTCTTTCCCCCTTTCTCCACAGAACAAAGAGGGACCTGTGGGGAGGAGAGGCTGGAATAAGTGTAAATGGAGATGTAGAGAGAGTGATTGATGTGCGACAGAGGTGGTAGCCGTAGGTAGCCGAACCACAGGTGTTTTTCTTTCCCTCACTGTGCTCTGAAAGCTGCACATTCTGCTCATGCAGTTGGTCCATGACCAGCTGTCCAACCAACAATCTTTTTATTTTCCACATGGATGGGGAAAATGGTTATTTTATATTATATTGTTTTTACACGTTTTTACATATTGCCGTTTGTATATATTTTATGCCAATAAAATTGTTTAAATGTTGCCATGTTGATTTCTTTATAGCTTGAACAAAAGCAGAGGGTTGCAGCGGGATACAGTCATTCTAGTATTTCTTTATCTCTTTTTATTTTAGTGGTTCCATATTATGTTAAGCAATTATATATGAACACTGGACAGGAGAAACTTTCTTTCTCAAATTGGGCCACTATGCTGTTTAGAATGACTAAATAATCTGTGGCACTTGCACATGTGGGGCCCTTAGGCAAGCCTGTGTGTTTGTGTGTATATTACTCAGATAAAAAAAAATCATCTTTTGTCTAACAGCCAATTCAGTACTTTCCACATCAAACTGCATGTAACGTAACCAGTGTTGTGCTAGTTACCATTACTAGTTACTTCATTTCAAAAGTAACTCAGTTACTTTACTGATTACTTACACCCAAAAGTAACGCGTTACTGTGAACAGTAACGCATTAGTTACTTAAAAAAAGGGCTCCCATTAATGCCCTTATAGCCTTCATTTCAGTACTGTTATTGCATCGGAGAATAATACAATCTGTTGATCAAGAAATAGCAATAGAAATAGTAGAAATATCCTGCATGTGTTCCACAACATACCTGGCAATGGCTTTATCAAATTTTCCCTGGCTAGCAGTCCCTCGGTTAAAATCCAGCCGCTGTTGCTTAGCAGAGTCACTCTTGCTGGAGTGGCGTCGGATGAGTCTGGGTCTGTGGTTTTAGCTAGCCTACTAGCTTAGTCCCAGCCAGTGGCGGCGCCAGATTATTTTTGTTGGGTAATCTATGGTAGGGCTAACCCATACAGCGGTGGTTCTCAAGTCAGTATTTGTAATGTAATGACATACACACTATATCACAATTAATCCTAGAAGTTCTGCTGTCTGTCTGCAATTTACTCGGCGCGAGTTTGGGGACCTTTCACTGTGAACGTGACGTATCAGTAATGCATGACGCAGCAGACCCAGATCCCTCGAGAGAAATCTTATATCTCTATGACTCTGAGCAGACCCGACGTTTCGTTGCTCTGATTGGCTGTAGGTCTATTCAAATTGCATTCGGAGGCATTTTGATCTGACCGCGGCCGCGCTGATATTATAACGCGAAATAATTTCCACACCTAGTGTATAAAACTCCCCCACTACTTAGACTATTCCTTGCACCCCTCTAGCATAAGCCCGAATGATATCAACCATATTGCGTCAGTAACGTGCACTTGTTGTTACAGCAGGATCAGTTTGTGTGTTGTGGACACGACCGGTAGATTTTCGCAATCCGTGTTCTCAACATGCTTACTTTAACATACTTTTTCATGGTCGGGCTAAGGTAGGGCTAAGCCATTTCTTGGTATGGCTGTAGCCTACCCCAGCCATACCCTGGCGCCGCCACTGCGGTCTAGGTATTACTGACTGACAGGAGATCATAATGTACTGGTGAAAGGTTTTAAAAGAAGGTTCACAGTGTAATGTATCAGTGGTCTCACACCATTTACCAAAATACTTTCAATGTCTCTTATATCCATTTGACAGCAAATCAAATGACTGATAACCTGTCACAGTGCATTTCCTTGTGCTTTATAAATGCAGTCCAACTGTATAGTCGTGCCATTTCAACAATACAACTTTGCATTAAGACATTTTTTTCCCTTCTGAATGGTCAGAAATGATGCCACATAAAAGATACATTAATAGATAATGCACACCCTAGAGCCGTTCCAAAGACAGTCAATATTGAATCAGCTGCTGAGGTATACGATAGCAACAATAGGCATTTTACTGGTCACTGTTGAAAAGCTTCTACAGTGCATTACAGACAGTCACTGATTACATGTAAATGGCTATTTATTCAAGTCTTAATGGTTGGATTTCCAGCTGAGGGAGACAGCTGTCCGCAAGAAGAAATGATAGACTTTACATTTTTCACAAAACTGACAATGAGTGGAGTGACAAGCAAGTGCAGAATCCAGACAGGAAATTGATTGGAGTATCCATTTTCGCCAATTCAAGTGAATGCTCCCCCCCAGTCGATTTCAAGAACATTTCGTTTTTTATGATAAACATGATGAGTGAGATATATTGCAAACAACCATACGGCCATAAATGAATAAAGTGACTGCATGTCTCTCATTCTGTATGACCACACCATGCCAGTGTTTCCCCTACCATTGTCTTGGCGGGGCGCTGCACCCTGCCAGCGGAGCCCCGCGCCCTGCCGGAAATTCAAGGTGTTTTTTTGTTTTTTTAATTTAAAAAAATATATATA